CACTACAGTAGATTAAGTCTCTACTGTTCTGCATGGGAAACGAGCAAATGGTGAACGAGGGATGAAGATGACATCGAGTGAGAAAATATGGAGTGGGTGGAGAGTTGTTTTTGCAGGCGGGGGGGGGGGGCAGCACGAGTCATTTAAGTTTAGGCATTGCGTGCTGGGAAAATACTTACTCTGCATTGGAGAGAAGAAGACCTCAGACATGGGTGCAGCCTTGGTCCATTTGTACTGAGGGACAGGCTTTCCATGACTGGACTTACAGCTCAGAGTCACATTGCCCTTCACCACTGGGTTCCCTGTCATGGTGCACACTGGGGGAGAAGGAGGGACTGGGCAGAGGGACAGATAATGTTAGTGATTTAAAACATGCGCAATAAGAAGCTACACCAGCAGCCCCATTTAGTGAACTTCTATGGTAGTTGTAATGCAGCGCCAGCGATGTGGAAATGTCTCAGGGCAGTAGCCACGCCGCAAAAAAAAGTAAGTTTCAATCTGCTGCTGGAGGATGACATAACAACCTGAGAGCCCAGCGAATCCCTAAACAGCAGATGAGTTTTATGTGGACAGTGCTTTCTCATATAAATATATGATTTTGACAGACTAGTCTAATCCTAAATCCTTTAAAATATGCTTAGCATTTACTTCGCCTGAACTTCCAAATCCGAAGAAATGTGTGAGCTGCACTGCAGACTTTCTGATTACATCTAACCTTTGAAATTCCTCTGACGCTGCGGACCATTACCTTTGACATTAAGGCTCATCTCCCCAGAAATGCCAGGAGCTCCGGGGATGATGACAATACACATGTAGCGACCAGAGTCGGATTCCTGGGTGTTATTGATGTAGATGGAGAGGTTGGCCGAGGGCATGGCCACACTGAAGCCCACTCTTTTTGTGAACTCGTTCTGACCGTGTCCGACCTCACCTGAGCTAAAGTTTATCACCTGCACGGAGAGAACACGTCCACAGAAACACAGACATCACTACATCGATATGGATTATTTCATTCAAATGAAAATTCTTTTGAATTCCGCCTGATATTAAGATGTGCAGATTACCATGTCCTTCATAAAGATAATCCTGGCATGTACAGATGGTGGATGTTGAATTTTAGCCTGATTTTCTGTTTGAGATAATCTCACAGGCATCGGAAACTGTTTAGATAATATTAATCATATAAGCATGTGCAGGCATAAGTTCACTAGCAGCGTGTGCTACGTAAGAGAGGTACAGCACAATGTAGGGCTCAAGTGTCATTAGAGGCATATTGTCCTTCCTAACGCCCACCCTTTCTTCCTTCCACTATGAATTAGACACCATCAGTGGTTTTAGAAAAAATCCTAATCTCTACATATCAACATGTTTTACAAATCTCTATGAGAATGTAACATTGTCATGCAATGCAATGCAACATTACTCTTTTCCTCTTGCTTAAATTAAACGATAAGAAGATCTAAACACAGCTTTAAATACAGTCTTTGAACTGATATTGTATGATAGAAAATAATCTACGCAAAGTAGTTCAGTTCGTGGTTTGAGCTCTAATAGTTTTTGCATTAGATGTAAAGCTTCTGTAGCGCTAGCCAGAGAACCAACCAGCAAACTGTACTTTACTCTAATCCCTTTAAAGAGGCTCTCGATTGTCTTTGCACCAGAGGTCAGAGCAGCTATTCAGCACAACGTTACACTGCTTCGGCTGTTCCCTTCTCACCTGCTTGGACTCGTTCCCAGAGAAGTACCAAATGACAGAGTTTTTGGAAATGTCTGCGCTGGGGCTGTACCATGCTTGTAACACCACCATCTGGCCTTGTACCACCTCCATCTCTTTTCTGGGGAACTCCACCTTCTTTGTGTCACCTGGAACCAAAACAGCGATAACAAGGGTTTAAAAAGCACTTCTTATCATGATCTCGACGGAGCAGCTGAACAGCAGTCTTGACTGCTTTTTGCAGAAAGCCAGGTTGCTATGGCAACACAATAAGTCAGTTTAACTTTTGCGTTTGTTTTATTCAACTTATTTCTGGGGATTAGATTGAATCCATTTTTTGCAGGGCTCCAACAAGAGATCATTATTTTGCAGTCATGGAAGATATCAAAGATATTCACATAATAATATTAAGAAGAGAGAAGCAGCACTGACTTTCACTGATATAAGAAGCTGAAGCAATCATTTTTAATAATACTTTGGTATAAAAATCACCCTGATTCTATTTTAAGTTGTCTGAATATCAATAATCCGTTTTCTTTTGTTTTTGTTCTGTAAATGTCTGCCATCATCATGGCCATGTAAGAGATATTAGTTGAGTGATTTTAACCATCTTTTTTCGCAGCAATTGGTTTGATCTGCAATATGAAAAGAACTACTCAGGAAACCAGAACATCAGAGACGTAGCAGCTCATCCATCTCATGATCCTTCACAATTCCCAGGTTATTGCCCGTCATATGACAAATGTGAGTTGACCTTGAACACAAGTTGTGTATTTTTAAGTAAGTTTCACTAAAATCTGGCCACGACTAGAACAGGAGGACTAGTAAACGGTGGCATAAGTGGCGTACGCTCATCGTTCTTTAAACTGGACGAACCAAAATTAGCGGCATAAAAACTTTTGAATAGCACAAAAACAATAACTAAAATCGTCCAAAGACTTAACGGCTTCATTGTAACATCTTCATATGTAGTAAAAACTCAATGATAACATTGCAGAAGGTGGATATTGCTACTGTAGTTTGTCTGATCTGAGCATTCTTGACAATTTTAATTTAAATCAGTATCTCTTACGTTATTATCTATGGCAAAACAAGCGGACATTAGTGCTGCCAAATCAACAAAGATCTAAATCACCACACACCCAGCCTCTAAATTCCGAAATTTAGTCTTCATAAAAGATTTACACTACAGTAGATTAAGTCTCTACTGTTCTGCATGGGAAACGAGCAAATGGTGAACGAGAAAAAAAAATCTTAACCCTTCGTATCAATACATGAAAATTGCAAACCTTTATTTTTATTGGAGGATATTAACGCTTTTCTTTTCACTCGTTTGACTCCCCCCACCCCAGCCCCCACCCCACACCAGCAATGTTTCATTGTTAAGATCCAAATTAAAACGCTATATTTGGTTCTTCATCTGATAAAGGTTTAAGAGGTAAAGAAAGTAGAATTTTGGCTTATCTCAAACTAATTTCAGGTACTTTCTTAAAATCATCAACCAAAAGTCATATTTACAAGTGTCCACTATCTCGCTACTGTTAACATTCGGATGAAGCTGATGTGGTTGGAAAATGCTTAAATACATTTGCACATAGAAAAGAAACCAGAGACGATGAAACGAAGGAGGTGGAATGATGATAATGAAGCGGTCATGGTGATATGAAGACAGGTTGTGGGAAATGATAACACAAAAGAGATCTTTTCGAACTCACAGGGTGCCCAGTCACCTGAACCAGACACCTGAAGCTGGATCAACTGATCCCAGCAGCTGGTCTCCGTCTGAGTCTCCAGTTTGGAGCTTGCTTTAAAAACTAAAGCCAAGGACGTGAAAAAGACCCACTGCTGCTATATCCTTTAAATGCTGCAAGTGAAACAGTGAAAAGTGTCCCTCCTGCGCTCAAATGGATGGCAGGGCGTAGCAGACAGGAGTGGGAGGCAGCGTTATGATCCATAGACGTCCAGCTGAGATCCCCACATCTGTTCATGCAGACACGCCTTCCTTCTCTCCCACAGTGAAGCCATGCAGGGGCAGGAGAATTAGTCAGAGGGTGGTGGTGTGGGCACAGATGAAAAGGAGGAAAGTGTGTGTGCATGTATAAAGCACCAAAAAAAAAATGAAACAGAACTTGTTTTGTTTTTTTTCACATGCACTTTTTCCTGCAGTGACTCAGTGCTTTCTTATTCCTCCCGGGACAATGTGACCCCGCAAGTGTGGTGCTCCTATCCCTTAATTTCTCAATCTCTGAATCTGGTAAGTCCTTCTGACTAATCCCTCAACAATCTCAGACTCAATCCTCTCACCTCATGTGAGCAAAAGAGCTCAGCTGTACACAGATATGATGTAACACACGGTCATTTCTCCCTCCAATACCAGGGTCACGATCATCACAGCAACATGTAGGCTTTTCAATTACAAAACTGTGGGGTGGTTACGGGGTTAGGGTGACCTCAGCTGAACCTGTTTGCAGATGATGCAATCAGAAATATTTGATAGAAGAAAATTATCTAGAAAATATTTTTCAAGGCAGAAAGCAACTTGACTCCTGCATCCAACCTCTTATGTCGGGTGGATTTTTTGGATTGCGATCACGTGGTGCACATGAGGGGCAGTGCAGTTTGATCTCCCTTTGGGTGAATGTGCAAATACACAGGTGAACCTTGACCTTTAAGTAGGCTGTACTGAAACTAATAAGACCCTTAAACCTATCAATCCTACAGAGGCACGCTTACAATTAGTAGATGTAGCAGAGCTGCTCATTCATACTCAAACTGAGGCTCATCATCTGTTGGCATCTAATCGCATAAATACTGGATGCTAAAATGCGGACACAGTGTTGGTTGTAGATAAAAGGGACGTCACCAAGTGAGGGGAGATCTACCCTGCTTTTATTTTTCATCAACACATGTAAAGATGTCAAAAGCTGTGATTTATACTGTGACATGTAAACGAAAGGAAAACATTCTTCCTCTTTGTTCCTCATTTGCTCGTGCCAGCCGTGTTGAGGAGTAAAGCCATCTATTGGGCATGTATGCATGAGATTAATATCTTTATCGCCATCATCATCACCACCACCATGCCCACATCAGCCGTCAGATCAGCCTGTTTTTGATTGGTAATGTACAGCAGCCCAGGGTACAGCGAAATCATCTATTTTCAGATCTGAAACATAGATTTTTCCCTCGCAAATCCTGTTAGCTCTCCGATTTCATTTCCACCAGCTATCGTCTTTACTGTCATGCCCATCAATAAAGCAATATGTACGTGCTGCGACAATTGTGTAATATTATTGCATAAATGGTCTTGTTTGTGATGCAGCTGTGTGGCGTATCTCCGACTTCTCTAAATGGTCACATGCTCAGTGTATGCTGATCAAAATACAGCGTGTACAAAAGGCCCAATTAGAGAGGACCAGCTTTTTTCTGCAGGTCGCTTTTTGCTGTGAATCGCTGCAGAGATCTTGCAGAAGCAGTGCATGCAAACAGCATTTCTGAATGATACACAGAGATTGTGTGATGAAGCACGATAATAACCTGTAGTCTTCTAAGTCCAGACTATTCTTGTGCTTCTTTGAGCAGGTTTATCCTCAGAACTGTGTCATTCAATTGTTTATTAAATGAAGTAAAATCTTCACTAATCCGTGCCTGTCTCCATCTGGGATGAGTCTGCGTGTGTGTATGTGCGTATGTGTGTGTGTGTGTGTCTGTCTCTGTGTGTATGTCAGTAGACTCAGATACAAAGGCTGTTCAACATGTGGATATGGATATAAATCAACTTAAATCCCTCACCAGAGGTAAAAAATCTGGAAAAGCTACTAATAAAAGAGGATACTGGAGAAAATGAGACTAGGTAGCCTCAGCTAACCTTGCCCTAATTATATTTTCCTAAAGGCTATTGTTCAGCCTAGCCACGCTTTGATTCTGCTAATAGGATTCTTTCCTTTTTGAATAAACAACATTAAAAAATATATATATAATATTAATATTTTTCCCGAGGGGCATCTTGGTGGATTCTCAGCTGCAAAAGCATTTCAGATGGCAACGAAACTGTACTAACAAAACAGAATAGAACAACAAGCCCAGTCAACCATATCACGCATGCTGGAGCTGGAGCACAATTAGGAGACCAAATGTGTTTTTCTGTAGTACTGACAGTCGTCCATAGGGGGAAGCACTTTCATATGAAACCAGAGATCCTCTGATGGTAGATAAAACCCCAGTGGAAACCATCATTTCGCCAGAGCAGCTAAATTTAAGTCCCAGCAGATGAATAAATAACTGTAAACAGATGCAACGCAGTAAGTAAGTAATCACAGACTTATATAAAAATGAAATGTTGAAAAAGCAGCCTCGGCAAGTGTCTAAAAATACACAAACTAGTGCCTCACTTACTCAGATACGTGTAATTAGCATTTGTCTTACAGGGCATCCAAACCTAGTTTTGCTGTGTTATGATCAAGTGAAGGATTAAAAGTCGCTCCCCCGCCTTCCGCCCCCAAGCCCTCAGGTAGCCATGTAGGCCTGTGTGAAGATAAACTGATCCTCTTTAACCAGCCTTACTCTATCTCTCCGAGTAATCTCTGCTTCCACCCATGTCTTTCCCTCGTGTGAGTCTCTCTCTGGAGCTAAAGGTTTAGCTGAGGCTGATATTAACTCTTGATTTCCACCTCTTCCCCCCCTTTTTTCATAATCAAAACAGCAGAGGTGGGCTTTTGCTGTAAAATGACCAAACAAACAATATATTTGAATTTTAATTAGATGGTAAACACAATCTCACATTTTCATGACATTTTTTAATCACTATTCCAATGTTATTAACCATTCAACGAGCTTTTATGCTGTAGGTTACATTCACCAACTCACACAAGCACATTTTTAAACCACCTATTTAATGTGTACAACTCTTATCTATAGAAAACTGGAGGAGCCAGTCAGAACCACTGACCTTCTTACATATTTAGTTTAATCTGTTGTTTCTTTCATTTACATTCATTAAAACCATAAAACCACTGAAAATGCCCTGAAGCAACACAAAACAGAAAACGGAAGGTCATATGGTGCTGAATCCGCAAGCACTTATGTATGTAAATGAAGAAGAGGCAGGTGAATAAATGAAATTGTGAGAAGTAGAAGGCAAAGAAGGTGGATG